CACAGTTCCCTGCGATTGCCTATATTACCGGTCACGACGTTGGGCCTTAAAGATTCGTATTTGCAGGAAGCTATTGTCGGTTGTCACGGGCAGTTTCGTCCCCTTCGCTCACTGTGTGCCTATCAGCTGTGCCGTCTCTACACTCGCACCATTCAGGACCCTCCTGTGGCGCACGGATAGAAAAAATACAGCACGTGGCAACGGGCGAAGACGGGCGTGGGGAGCAAGCCGTGGGGGGGGGGGGGGGGGGGGGGGGGGCGGGTCGCCATAATAATAAAAAACGGAAGAGGTGCAACAGGTAAGGAGGCGCAAGGTGTCTGGTAGCAGGACTGCTGCGGATGAATGTAGGAAGTGTGCTTATAACTCGGTGCAAAAAAAAAAAAAATTCGAATTTTGAGCACTGATGTTAGGGGAGCGTTTATTATGCGAGTGCGCTCATTACAGCTTCGTGAGGGGGGGGGGGGGGCACAGCGGACGAGGAAAGTTCAGGGTAGTAGGTATCCTACCTTGGACACACATTTCAGTAGTGGGAGCAGGACGTTTTGCCAGGTGAGGCATCCCCTTGCTACGCACCTGCTACTGGCCAGTCAAACAGCTTAGGAGACTGAAGTACGAACATGTCACCACTGTGCAGTGGTAGCAATATTAAAACCCACTGAAAAATTACCCATGATATTAGTATTCTTGTGCCGTGGTAAGAGAATCTAGTAACTGTACCTTCAGCAGCACCTCTGCTTGTTGGGTCATTTTGCCATGTGTTCTACCAAACGACACTAGAGAGTACCACTACACCATGGTGGCACCAGCACTCAGGATATTGTTCTCTCATTTTTTTTTATGTGATAGCCAGTATTTTAGGCAACTATAATTAATATTCTGCACCTCTAGCATAATGCAGAAGATTCACAGTCATTTCAGATGCCGAGTGAGGGCTTCGGAATAATTTTTATGAGATATCTTCACCCTAGGGTCACTATTGAAGACCTCAGCTTTCATCAGCGTTATGTGAAGGTTGAATAGCCTAAAGCTTTTTATACGGTTTAGAGGTCTACAACCTTCATTTTTCCACAGTAAAAACACTATGTTCTTAAGCTTGAACTGTTTAGCAAGCCTTGGTGGATACAAACTGGTTTCCCAGTACGTAACACCATGGATAGCTATGCAGCATATACCAGTGCACAGTGAATATTTATGAATCCAGGCTATTTCCAAACCACCATATAGTTTCCTAAATATACACTAGAGGGAACTCTGGTACTAGCGTCAATGGGAGCTGCAACGCACGGCGCTTCAGCGAGCATGGGAACAATGGGTAGTACACAAATTTATCTAATCTTCGTACTTCTGGCTTCAGTTGTGTTCGCGTGGCTTCGAGATTTTGTGTCACGAAACAAAAATCAGCAAATGTTTAGTCATTGCACTTCATCACTATCATCTTTAGGCTAACCATTTACGTTCTTTCCTTCGAAACAATACCGAAAGCACAGCGAATAAACGAAGCCACAAGTGCGATTCGCCACCTGCAAGTACGAAGACTAGGCAAATCCATGTACTACCTATCCTTCCCATGGTCGCTGAACGATCGCAGCGCCAGAGTACCCTCTAGTTAACTTTAGGAACCTCTATGCAAGCCACAGCAGGTGCCAAAAACCTTCAGCAAGAAAGCAGTTCGACAGCTTGCATACCTCAGGGCGATGGTACTCGAGCAAACAAATGTGTATAGACCCTCATGTGTATTCTCATGGGCTTAGGTGATACCATGGCAACATGCAAAGGAATGCAGAAAGCACTTTTTTAGCCTAAGCCTACTAGGCAAAGCAAAAGCCCAAAGCCGAGCATAGTTTGAGCTGCAGTCAATAACAACTGGTGCATTCAAGCATTAACATTGTACTGTGCATCTCATAGGCTGTGGTTAAAAAATTTTGGATGTTCATGTACTAAGTTAAGTGAGTCAATTCCCAACCGTCACTTAAATGGCTAGAGCTATTAAATAAAAATTAAATCTTAATTATCAATATGAAACAGCAATACTAACTGCAGTTGCTGCCACAACTACCACGATATGGTCAAGTAAAACCAGACTTCTTTCTGCCTACAAGACATTGCATAAAGACTGCAACTAACAATATAGCATGCATAACAGAATACTTGAAAAATGTACTATCAGGATAAAATGAAACCCAAACAGCAGCAAGCCTTCGCAACGCTATAGTGCACGCCGTCCACTTATCACTATGAACAGGCACGCATATACTGTAATTACTCGAATCTAACGCGCACCTTTTTTCCGGTTACGGGAGTTCATAAATCGCATGCGTGTTACAATCAAGTACGAAAAAAAATGAATACAGTCATTCTATTGCCACCGGCATTTCCAAAATGGTTGCCCCGGACGTGCGTCGGCCATTTCTGCCTATGTGTTTCCCATGTGCGGCACTTCATAAGTGTGCTGAGGAATTCGTCATCTTGTAGTGCATTAGCATCGACGACATGGAAGGGCCGACTCCAAAACTCTACGAGTGCACCACGATGCCAACGAGTGCACCACCATGCCACGTGTGCCGAAACGGATGGAAATCGGGCCGTATCGCGGTCGTTCGGAGTTTCCGAAACGTGTGCGCGGGACTGGCGAAAACAAAAGCAGAATATTGTCGACAGCAAAGATTCACGCAAAGGCTTCAGTGGACCACAGCAGGGTTGGTTTCCGCAAATTGAAGAGCTGCTCGGCGAGTATGTGATTGAGCACTGAACGGCACAGCGGCCCATGATGACAGAACTGCTCCAAGTGCAGGCTATTAAAAAAATGGCTAATGCCGAGCCAGTTTAAAGCGAGCAAGTGCTGGCTAACTAACTTTATGAAGAGGAAAGGCTTTTCTCTCCGAAAGTGAACGGGCATATGCCAAAAGTTGCCGGAGGAGTACGATGAAAAGCTTCACAGTTTTCAGAGGTTCGTCCTAAAATTGTGGCACAACAATGGCTACCTGCTTGGGAAAATCGGGAATGCCAATCAGACGGCATTTTACTTCGACATGCCTGGCACCACAACCATCGAGAAGGGGGTGAAGCAAGTTAGCGTGCCGACATCGGTCCACGGTAAAACTACAGTGACAGCAATGCTCTGTTACACGTCAGATGGGCACAAGCTTCCCCCGTACCTCATATTTAAATGGAAGACGCTCCCGAAAGAAGTCATTTTCCGGAGTGGTGTTATTGTGCGGGCCAACGAGAAAAATGGGTGCGCGTTGCAATCGATGTCGTACTTTTTTTTCGTCGTGGAAACCGAATGCGCGTTACAATCGAGGGCGCGATAGAATCAAGTAAATACGGTATGCGGAAATATATGCACCTGTCAATCGTGACAACTGGACGGCACGCACCACACTTTCACAAAGGCTTTCCGCTGTTCCAGTTTCATTTGACACTGACAGTACGGACTGGAACAAAATCTTCCAGAATATGTGAAGCATGTACGAAACATGCACCGAGTGGTAGTACGACTTTTCATGTACAATCATGACAAACTACCCCTGGTAACACCCTGTCACAAGAATGCGACAGCTGTAACAATGTCTGTGTATAATACACCTACAGATAATGTTGCTTTTCGACTGACAGATTTCCATTGTATTACCATGATTACCAAATATTGAGTAGGCACAAGACATGCCTGTCATACTTGAACATTTTTTGTTTACACAGCTTTTGTGCGAGCTAGTACCTCAAGATCCCCATGCAACGATGCCAACACAAATCCCCTAGTGTATTGGCAGACACAAGCGCACGAGGACGCACATACGATCTCTGTACCATGCACATGCAACATGAGACAGTGCCAGGAGTGCAGTGCAGCAAGTGCACGCATATTCAAAGAATTTCGCCCTGGCTTGTACATCCTAGGTTTACGTACCGTGAAGCAATGCTTTCTATAAGCATATTCAACACTTCATTCTCAAAGCCAGCGAAACAAGCGTCCCAAATCAGTCCCCCATCATCTGCCTTTTGCAAAGCCAGCTACTGCTCTTGTGTTTTGTTAACAGCAACAGAAGACCAGTTTATATAAAAACTTGAAATTACCTGAAATAATGGGTTCAACAATGTTTAATCCTCAGTTTATAATGCATAAAGAACAAAAGTAACACAGCAAAATGTGCTATTCTACTAAGGAGAAATGAAATGCACCTATCAGAGCTGATGGGGTAAAACCTACGAAATCCTTTGGGCTGTCAAAAAATATAAGCATCAAAATTCTGTCCTCTAACTCTTCACATTGTGATGTACCCTATAAATATATATTTTTTTCTGAATGTATAGCTTACTCTGCTGGCTCTTCACAAGCTGTAAACCACACATTTTCTTTCTATGCTTGTAATAAAGGAGCACAGACTAAGAGATAGCTCCATAACGTAAAAATTTATTACACGAAGTAAACTGTACACTTTCAAGTAGCAGTCCGGCTGTTAAGAATTAAATAGAGCGGCTCGCAACACGTTCTAAATCACTCTCCACTAAACTCTAAAAATATATAAAACCAACCTGGAGGACCTCCTAAAGTCTTAAACTCTTGAGACTAGCCAGAGAACAAAGAAACTGACCTGCCAAGTCACAACTTCGAATCAAAGAAAAAAACAATGACCTCACTGGTTGCCAAGAATGACCACACATCAGCAGTCAACGAGCAGGGGAAGCCTCATGTTGTTCAAGGTCAACGTAAGAATGCCCAAGCAACTAAGACGACCCTGCAAGACTTTTGGATGAAGAAGCTACCGACAGGCAAGAGCACAGCTAGCAGCCACTACCAGCAACACCAACAAAAAAAGTAAAGCAGGCTTTTATACAAAAACATGCAGGAGCTCGAAGACACCGGGAGGAGAAGCAAGCCAGATCCTGAAATCTCGACAACTGGACAGCGCTGCAACACTCAAAGTTGCCCCAAGGAAGAAGGAGGGGGTGCTACAAGCAGGCAAGAGAGCCAGATCAGAGAAGGAGGAGTTTCCCCTCACCGCTCTTCCTCCTTGCGGCGCAGTGAAGCATTGAGCTTTCTCTGGACTGCCGGGTTCGATATGACCTTGCGGGACGCTTGTGGAGAAGAGCCCTGCGCTATCACCAGATGACGCTGACCACCCAGAAGAATCTTTTTCTTGTCTTCAGTCTCACTGCCTTCCTCACTAGATGACTCTGAGCTTGATTCGGAGCTCGACTCCTCTTCCTCTTCTTCCGAGGACGACTCGCTGCCCGAGCTTTTCGGGGACTCCTTGTCGGCAGAAGGCTTCTCTGGCTTGAGAATAGGCTTTATGGGAGTGGCTGGTGCGGCATCTACAACCTGCTCTGTTTTCAAAATGCCCTTGACATCTTCCTTGGCCTCCTGGTGTTGGTCCTGTTTCAGTATACTTTTCACAACAGGCTGCGGGCCTGCTTGCGGCTTCAGAATACCTGGTAGCATAAGATGGGACAAAGCAATGTTAGCATCTATACAGCCATTCTCGAAGTGATAAAATAAATATTAAAAGCAACTTATATCAGTGGTAAATTAGGCCACTAATTAATCTATTTTATTGCCAATATATGTCGTGTGAAACAGTATTTAACACAGACGCAATTATAGCACAAGTGCATGTTTTCATTCTCAATGGTGTTATACTATATACCATAGCATTTTGAAGTAGGAAAATACATTTCGCATAAGTGCGAACAGTGGCAAGAGAAGCCACAAATTTACTTGACTAAAATATTGAGATGGTTTGGATTTACATGAAAAGTTTTACCACATTTGACATTAACACAGCTGCCTTTTGTGACTGCTCGTCAATGGGTGCGAATACCTGCCTTTGCATATCTGATCACTCGCTGTTAGGGCAAGACGCAAAACGTATAGTTATAGTGGATCTGCTGCTACCTTGCTAATCTTCATTGTGATACAAATGAAAAAAAAAAAAACTGATTTCAACACCCTGGTTGATGATGCCAATATGACCGACTTGAAGCTATATGATATCTTTACACATAGTTCTCACTGATTTTGGTGCCAGAGCACATGTGTCACAAAAAAGAAAGCACTGAAACGTTATTTTATGTACTATTGCTCCTACTATCAATGCTTGTATCACAACAGCAGCTTTTAGAAACTTAGGCCTACAATACCTAAATTTTCTACCCAACTAATTGCAAATACAAAAAAGGAGAAATACAAAGCTGAATAGTAATCAGCAGCTCTAGCAACATATAAACAGTGTTTCATTTATTACACTTTTTGGATGAATAAGGAAGCCTCCACATTATTACCGATGGACCCATGTAATTTTTTTATTTATTCATACTGTCAGCCCAAGGGCCAAAACAGGAGTTGGGGTTACATATCTGGCACGTACAAAGAACATATGTGGAAACAAGTTTCACACTGTACGCTCAAGACGCATACTATATGGAAATAACAAAAACGCGAAACTATCAGAATATATCCCGCATAGGTCACGGATAAAAGAAACATGTTCGAATACATCTCGTACACGTCACCAAAAAGAGAAAAAGGATTCGAAGTGACATAGTACATATTGAAAATATTGATATAGTACATTGAACATATTCAACCGACAAGCAATTTGGTTACAAATATTCTGACAAAGCCTTTTCGAACCTTTGTAAATCGCAATGTTCGACTATGTATTGAGGCAATTGATTCCAGTCATCAATGCTCCGAACCAAAAAACGAATACTTGAATAAATCTGTTCTGTAGCTAAGTGGTGTGATATGTTTCAAGTGTTTTGTTCTGGATGTGGTAAATGGCTGTAGTGCGATGTGTTCCCTTAGGTGAACCTTGTAGTCTCCATTGAGTATGTGGAAAAAAAATATCAGTCGATTATGTTGCATTTTTCGTTTCACCGTCATTAAACCGGCTCTGTCTCTAAGCTCACTAATAGACTGAGTTCTGGAATAGGAGTTGAAGATGAACCGTAAGGCTTTGTTTTGTATACGCTCACATTTTAGCGCACTTGTTTTGGTGTATGGTTCCCATAGATGACTTGCGTAGGTCAGTACTGGAAGAATAGTCATTTTATACGCCATTGTTTTAGCTTCCGGGGTGGCATCGTGAAGTTTTTGTCGTAACGACCAAAGTTTACGCATGGCTTTATTGCAAACACTGTTAACATGCATGGACCAGTTCAAGTCATGTGTAAGATGAACACCTAGATACTTAACATTCTTTACTTCAGTCAGCACTGTGCCTTTAATGCTGCACAAAAAGGATAACGGGTCTTTTTTACGTGTCATGCGCATGAAGAGAGTTTTTGATGCATTCAGTTCCATTAGCCATTCGTCACACCAAAGACTAATTTTTTGTAAATGGTTATCAAGCTCCAGCTGATTGTCAGTGGAGCTTATCTTCGCATACACAATGGTGTCATCTGCATAACATTTTATAGCTATTTGCCGAGAAAAATCGGCACCCATGTCACTGATATAGATAGAGAAAAGTAAAGGGCCTATTACGGACCCTTGCGGCACACCTGACCTGCTGGTTTATTGGTGCTGGAGACATTATTTCAACAAATTGTCTATTTGACAAATATGCCTCTATCCATTTTAATAGCTGACTGTCACCAGTCAAACAAGACAACTTTTTAAGCAACTTTCTGTGACATATTTTATCGAATGCTTTTCGGAAATCAATAAATATGATGTCTACTTGACCTTTTCCATCTAAACAATGACCAATTACATGCGTAACCTCAGTAAGAATTGAAATTGTAGAATACCCTTTGCGAAACCCGTGCTGATTATTACCTAAAATACCACTTTCTTCTACAAACTTCATTAGGTGAGTAGTCAAAATGTGCTCCAGTGTTTTACAACAAGTACTTGTCAAGGCAATTGGTCAGAAATTCGTGACGTCATATTTGTAACCCTGTTTATGGATAGGTATTACCTTGGCACACCTCTAATCTATTGGAACGTAACCGGATTGAAGAGATTTTGTGAAAATGCCCAACAGAAAAAAATGAACACCACTCGGCATAACGCCTAAGAAGGCGTTGGGAATTTGATCAGGTCCTGGACATTTTTTCACATCTACTTTAAGTAAGAGACCCAGAATGCCTTCTTGTGTTATAGTTAGCTCAGGTAGACATTGCTCATTAGAAATTCGCGCTTGAGGAGTTGAACCACCGTCCCTAATGAAAACAGATTCAAAATATTCATTAAATTGGCAAGCCATCTTATATTATCCATGATAGTTACATTATCGTTCTTCAAAAACTGGATGCCAAGTTTTGGCCCTGAAAGATACCTCCAAAATTTTCCCGGTGATGTTTTAATGAAATCGGTAAGAGCTTCATTCATGTACCTGTGTTTCGCTTGAATGAACACAGCTGCCTTTTACGACTGATCGTCAATGGGTGCGAATACCTGCCTTTGCATATCTTATCACTCGCTGTTAAGGCAAGACAGCAAAATGTATAGTTATAGTGGATCCGCTGATACCCAGCTAATCTTCATTGCGATACAAATGAAAAAAAAAACAAACGATTTCAACGCCCTGGTTGATGATGCCAACATGACCGACTTGAAGCTATATGATATCTTTAAACATATTTCCCACTTTGATTTTGGTGCCAGAGCACATGTGTCGCAGAAAATAAAGCACTGCAACGTTAATTTATGTACCATTGCTCCTACTACCAATGCGTATATCACAACAGCAGATTTTAGTAACTTGGGCATACAATACGTACCCAACTAATTGCAAATACAAAGGAGAAATACAAAGCTGAATAGTAATCAGCAGCTCTAGCAACATATAAGCAGTACTTCATTTATTACACTTTTTGGATGAATTAGGAAGCCTCCACATTACTTCCGTTGGACCCATAAGACCAAGTGCCATGAAATTCCGTTGATATACTAACTGGTAACTTCTATAATACCAAGTATTTACTATAAACTAGTTACAAAAATAGAAAGCAAAATAGATGGGTTGAACGAAAAAGAAAGCCAAACAGGGGGATAAAAAGCAGAGAGAAAACCATATTATCAGATGGCATATGCCAGCAGATGTCCGTGATAATGATGGCAAAGCTGCAGATTCCGAAAATACAGACATTTTCATGGCTCCAACACAAGCCCCCGTTGAGTCAATTTATGAAATATCTGATGTTTAGGAAGCTGCAACTATTCCGAGTATTACTGCATGTCCGATAGTGCACTATCAGAAGCCACAACCACTACCGCAACATAGATAATTTCAAAAATAAACTTTGCTGCAATGCTAAAAAGCTGTGCGGTGAAGCATACTAAGAATCTGACACTCTACTTGACAATATCAAAGGGCTACCAAACAGGTGTGAGCGCAGAGCAAACAGAGCTGTGGGTGAAAGATTAGCAGCTTGAATTTCTTGTTTTATTTTCAAGAGTTTCGCATTCTATTATCTTTTTGCGCAGACACCAAACAGCCAGAATTCAGTTATAACAGATAATGCGGTATGAAGGTATTATGGTAAGCCTGTAATTACCCCACAGAAAACATACGAAAATTGACAGTGCAGCAGCTTCTCATTACTATAACAGATATATTGTTAAAGCTGATATTGTTTTAAGTGGCTTTGACCGTATCCATTTACTGCCACAAGATTATTAAAGGGACACCACAGAGGAAAGATTTTTATTAGCACAGTACAATTTCACTATGTCAGAAACATCGCTCTCACTACCGCATGACACACAGTAAGTGAAAAAACACACAAAATAAAATGCGAGTGGATACACCACCTTAATATTCCTGCAGCAAACAAAATGATGTCAGATTATGAAGGCATCTACTGGGTCCTACATAGCTTCAAATTTATAAAAATGAAGTACATTGTTACCTGTGGGTGTTTCGCGAAAATAGGAAGAATTATTTTGAAACTTTTCCCGTCCCGCCACAAAGATTTCAGCACGAAATTTAAAACGAAACTTCAACCTAGCATTTCTCAGCTAATAATGAACTTATGATGGTGAAACATGCAGCATTAGAGTTCTCAGAGAGCAGTTTGTCGATCTAAACCAAGGCACTGTTTTTTTTTAGTGTCCCTTCAATTAAGCTAGGTGGCAAGACAACAGTGCTTTCGAGCTTTATCCCTGCAATTTCGCACAAAATGCTAGCACCACTGTTATTTTCAGGCAACTTCTCTGATTGACTGAATTGCAGTGGCTCGTGCTCTTGTCAGCCATGCCAGTGATTAACAGCGCCCCCTCTCTTCCCCCCCCTCCCAAAAGCTGACCATAACCTACTGAAAAAGCACGGCTTAGCATATTGTTTTGTTCTTCGGTAGACGCAGCTTTAGATAAAAAATCCGGTATATCATTCTACACTAGAGATGTGAAGGGTGGAAAAAAACTGAATAATTCCTGAAAAAACTTTTTTTCCCGGTTTTTTTTTGCTCAGTTGCAAAAATTGAGGCGATATTTCCGTGGGGCAAAACACAGAAGTAAGGCTTAGGTAATGCCCAGCATTGTACGTGAAAACGAAACATCGCACGAGTATCAAAACAGCAATTGACGGCTGACTAATCGCCATCGACTTCACATAAAGTCAGCTTCGTTCTTTGGGTGTGGTGGTGTTGGGGGTGGTTTCCGATGCTTTCGTACCTGTTATTGTTCAGCTTTGACTTTCCCCTCGTACCTTTGTGCGACCTGTTGCCAAAGTCTGCTTATAAAGCCACGTGCAAGCAGATTCTGCAATGGTTGGGTCAATTTCCGACACGTGCATGCACTTCACGGTTGCAGAGACCGTTGGCGGTGAATGGGGACTTGCTGTATGTAAGCACTGCCACAGCAGTTGCGGTTTTCTTAATGCGACGTTTTAACATGACGAAGAACGCTACAGATGAAGCGAGTGAGACAGACTCTGAATAAGAGAACTTTATCTTTTACCCATCTTGATCAATGTTTCCACAGTCGAAGCCACGATGAAACAGGCATTTCTGAGTTATTTATTCTAACTGCCGTAACAATTCTAGGAAGCCCCAACAATTCACAGAGAGCTAAATCAGTTCGCGGTGGTGCTTCTGGCCTGCCTTCGATCTGTTAAATGCTGCATTCGTTTGTGAAGAGAAAGAAAGCATTTCATTTCAGTAATTTACAGAATGAAAGTTGGTGCTTTTGACACTTGGCAAAAAACTAACTATATGGCAATAAATGCCGTATGCTAAAAAAATTCATTTTCCATTTTTTTTTCTAGAATTTCAAAAAAGAATGTGAAAAAAAAAAATTTTTCACATTGCTCAAAATTTCTGGAAATTTTGCATCTCTATTCTAGACAAGATAAGGTATCTGTGTGAAAAGAATTTAAAACTGCAGGGCTCTCTAAAATGCAAAGCCATTTACAGAACAGAATACAAGCAGTGAAGACTGAGTACTTCTAAAAAGATTTCCTTCTGTGTATGCGTTTTGTAGTTTACGTTGGCATAATTTTATGACAATGCTGGTTTCATTCATGCTGTCTCATATTTGCATGCTTTTCACTGGCTGTATTTTCAATCAGTGCAAAAAACAAATGACTCTTCCATACACAATCTCACTGTTAAAAGTAACAAGTAATGTTTTTCTATTAGTACTATACCAGATAGTTTCCAAAAGTGTTTCTCTGTGCACCTCAAAATGAATGTGACCCACTCCCGTTTCAACCCCCCCCTTAGCACCCAACTTGACAGACTAAAAAAATTAGCTTAGCATCTTGCATTTCACGGAGCCATCATGCACCGCATCAACAAATCAAAAGCTGCGAGTAGTGAGAGACCCATACAGCAGGGATTAGAGTTACAGTCGAGGCACGCACAAGGCAATTGTTCTCTTGTCATGAGGGCCAACTAACACTTGCATCGGAATTACCATAGCAAGCCGAGAGACTGAAGATGATAGCAGCTGCGACTCTTTCCCTACCACGAGGAAGGTGAGTGTTTTCTGTAAGTTGCACTAAATGTTATTACATAAGAAACTACTGCATCTCATACTTTATGCAACACATAACAAAAAGTGAATCAACTCATTTGTCACAATTACAATGCAGCGAGAGACTGAAGATGATAGCAGCTGCGACTCTTTCCCTACCACGAGGAAGGTGAGTGTTTTCTGTAAGTTGCACTAAATGTTATTACATAAGAAACTACTGCATCTCATACTTTATGCAACACATAAACAAAAAGTGGAATCAACTCATTTGTCACAAATACAAGTGTCATGAACGAATATGTATGTTGTGTAGGCTTGTGGGAATGTTCAACTGCTTCGAATATTTCAACAAATATTACTGTATTCTAATTCGCTTCAATTTGAGTTGAAATGTTGAAAACTTCAATGTAGTCAAAATGAACGAATAGGAGCATATTAATCCACATGTAGCCCTCTGCAAAGGTGGTTTCACTGCAGTGAAATAGTGCTAAGCCATGAAAGCACCTATCCAAACAAAATCTTGGCCGCCACAAAGTTTCTCTTCAAGGTTAAATTAACATATTACCCTCTCATCGATGCATCATTTGTGTTCAAAAGCTTGCTATATCAACTTAAATACTCAAAGTGAGCAAACTTTAAAACATGACATATTTTACAGCTTATCACTTGCATTCTACGGAAAGTCAAATCCTGCAATTATTGCAAGTTGTTTCCACTTATTTTGAACCAAAAGGAATGGTATTTGCACAGGTCTTGACATATAGAAAATATTGTGCAGGTTAGTTGGGTCGCAACAAATATGCCCAGTTTTCTGTGTAATATGTGATGTGTGCTAATTTAATTCAATTTGAAATTATTCGAACAAAATGGCTATTCGCTACGAATTCACTACGAACCTAAATTTCACTATTTGCAAAAGCCTAATCTGCGAGCTAGATAAATTGACAAATTTAAGAATGCGGGGTGAAACTGAACACAAGTTCGTGAAGACGTGCTTTTGTCTACAAAGCAAGAAATAAAGAACAGAAATAATCAGATATAAAAAATATGCTGCATCTAGTAGGCACCATCTCAGAAAAAGAAATTCAAGATTTTTCATTGAACAGGACTTCCCCATCACACTAGGAAAGCACTAAGATTGGGCATGTTATGCTGCAAAGCAGTTCCTCTACACAAAGGATAGTGTAACGTCGCATGTTTTCCAGTGAACTCGTTTTTCACACTGCTTTCTCAGACCACACGGAAATAAACTAGATGAAGAGAACTATAGTAGTTCACCACAATGGATGGCGAAGTGCGCCTGTGAATGACACCGAATGTCTACAAAGTGGCAATTAAAACCATCGGATAATGGGCTATTGATGTCAATAGCCTGCTATACACATTCTACATCCTGCACTAGTGAAACTTCCTACATGATGTGCATGAGCAGAAAGCTTACTAAAGTGCATGCACTGTACGCTATGCTTTTAGTTTAAGAGATGCATGCAGGCTATCATTATATGCGCAATTGTGTGTTCAGAAAGCCAGTGTGATGCTGATCGTCGTATCATTGACCTAGTTATGTCTCATTGACATTAGAACTTACCGTGTTCTCGCGTCGATCCTCGGGATATACTACATTGCAGTGGCGTACCCAAGTAAAAAAAATTTTTTTGAAGAATAATGGTGTCAAACTCAAGTACCTCAATGATTCTGCAAACCCCTTCAAAGCTTTCCCACATTTTATCGCCTCTGCTGGCATCAGACTCGCTCCTCAGAGTCACACTTGCCTTTTGGGGTGCCTCCAGGAGTAGGCTGCACTGGGTCTTCTGGAGGAGATGAATGCGAGCGAGCACGACTGACTGGAACACCAAGCATAGCTGGTGCAGGTGCGGCTGGTTCATCGGTAGATTTGCATCCCAAAGATCGTCGCATGCTGTTGGATCGCATAGGTGGCTTTTGGGTAAGCACATCCAGGGTGACCTGCAGGCATAAGTCGATCACGCTAGCAAGTTTGCCTGCTGTTACCAAAATAAATGTCAATTTATACACAAACAAGCACCCAGGTAAGGTTCAGATTTTGCCTTGTTTTCCCAAATCTGGTCTGCCTTACGACAGTACTTTTATTTATTTCAAATACTGGCCCTCAACTGAGTGTGTAGGTGGTATACATGGGCAACAGAAGACGTTACAATGTCACACATAATGTCACTTGTTCACCGAGTTTTATAAGACAGCATCAAAGACTTTCAAAGAATATATTGAAACAGAAAGAACATTACACAATCTGTAGTAGACCATTATGCAGCCACTAGCAAATAATATCAAGTTTAATAATAACAGCAATAACAAGCAGCAGCTCCAGACAGCTTTCGAAGAACAGAGTATATTCAGACAGTTTTTGAAGCAGAGTAAGAATCGCAATGAAAAAACAAGCAATTTGCCTTGGCAAAAATTAGACGTGTGAGCGCTATGCAGCTTATGGGAACGTAAAACAGTTTGGAATAGTGCACTTGGCACACAGTATATGCACATACACAGATGAATGAAACATGATACATAAGTATTTATTTTTTAAAAATTGTGGTTTCTTGAGAATGTTATTCCCAATTAAAGGATCATTACAGAGAAATAATTACCTGGTTTAGATTGACAAACTGCACTCTGAGAACTCTAATGCCATATTTTACACTATGACAAGTTCATTAGTAGCAGAAGATATTAAGGTTAAAGTTTCATTTTTAAATTTTATGGAAAATCACTGCACGTGACAATGAAAACTTCAATATGTATTTTTTGTATTTTTGCGACATCAATCCTGTGAAAATTCGAATTTTCGAATTTTCAATCCTGTGAAAATTCGTCTGCTTGGTCTACGGTACCCACACATGTGAATGTACTCCTTTTTATGGTTAACAAGGTACCTAGGACGCAGTAGACGCCTTCAATATCTACGAAGTTACAGTCTTTGGTGTGGAAATCTCAAGGTGGAGTCTCCACCCACATTTTCTTTTCCCGAGTTTTGTCTCTTGCTAAACGTGTCGCAGAAGAGTGGTGTTTTTGGAATTGTGAGACTGTACTTTACAATTATGCGGAAAATAGTTTTCCTCTTTAGTGTCTCTTTAGTGCTCATGAACTATTTGAAAGCATTCTCACATATATCTATTAAAGTTTTTTTTGTGCACTTTTTTCGATAATTATGAGAGTCGCTAATTTTGTTGTCAATGCTATTTGCCGAGAGCACAGATACTGCTCAGCGCCGCAATGGGAGGACCCACAAGAACCAAATTTTCACAACACGTGATATCGCTAAGCTAGCCAAGATCACCCAACAAAATCGCAGCAGTGCAAAGACTGCAAAGGTCTCCATCTTTCCAGCTTTTTCATATCAAGCCCTTTTTTTTTTTTTTTTTGTCATCTCATTTCTGTCTCACACTTCGTCACACACTTCCTACAGAATTGATGCAACACCAACAACACTGATAAGTTGACATAAAGGCCAAAAAATCAACTTAAATTTATATTTTTCGATGTAGGAACAAGAGAAACAAGTGCAAAGAAAACATTCTCCTTTGGTCACCAGCCTATGCTGCACACTTGAGGGCACGTGTAGGCTCCTAACAGCATAGAAGTCACAAATTTTGTTTTCATGGATCCTCTTTAGCTAAACCGAAACTTCGTATCAAAAGAGTTTGCCTAAATTTTCCAGCCGTTATCGAGAACTTTGCACTCAGCATGGGGCATACCGTATTTACTCGATTCTACCGCGCCCTCGATTGTAACGCGCACCCGATTTTCACTGCGAAAAAACAAAAAACAAACGTAAGACATCGATTGCAACGCGCACCCATTTTTCTCGCTGGCCCGCACGATCACACCACTCGAAAAAACGACTCCTTTCGGGAGCGTCTTCCATTTAAATATAAGGTACGGGCGAAGCTTGTGCCCATCTGACGTGTAACAGAGCATTGCCGTCACTGTAGTTTTACCGTGGACCGATGTCAGCACGCGAACTCGCTTCGCCCCCTTCTTTCTCGACGGTTGTGGTGCCAGGCATGCCGAAGTAAAGAGGCGTCTGATCGGCATTCCTGATTTGCCCAAGCAGGTAGCCGTTGTTGCGCCGCAAGTTTAGGACGAACCTCTGTAAACAGTGAAGCTTTTCATCGTACTCCTCCACAAAACTTTTCGCATATGCATGTTTCCCTTCGGAGGGAAAAGCCTTTCCTCTTCATAAAGTTAGTTAGCCAGCACCTGCTTGCTTTAAACTGGCTCCGCATTAGACCTTTTTCTAAGACTAATTGCATAGCCCGCACTTGGGGTTGCTGTGGTCCACTGAAGCCTTTGAGTGAAGCTTTGCTGTCGACAATCTTCTGCTTTTGTTTCCGCCGGTCCCGCACGCACGTTTCGGGAACTCCGAACGACCGCGATGCGGCCCGATTTCCGTCCGTCTCTGCACACGCGATGACTTTTCTTTTAAAAGCGGCATCGTGGTGCACTCGAGTTTTTGGAGTCGGCCCTTCCACGCCGTCGATGCTAATGCACTACTAGATGACGAACTCCTCAGCACACGTACGAAGTGCCGCACATGGGAAACACGTAGGCAGAAATGGCGGACGCGCCATGCCGACGCACGTAGGGGGCGGCCATTTTGGACTTGCCGATGGCAATAGATTGACCGTAATTTTTTTGTAATTGACCGTAATTTATGAACTCGCTTAACTGGAAAAAAGGTGCGCGTTAGATTCGAGTAATTACGGTAAGTGCAAGCAGTCACCTCATGCACATGCATATGGGTCTACTGAGCAAAGTTTCAGTGAAAAAAGAAAAAGCTACAGATTAACAAAATGCGTTGCTGGGCGAGTTGGTACGTGTCTAAACATAAAAGTCAAGTGCGAAAAAACGATGAGGCACAGGAAGCCAGTAGAGAGGATAGGATAGAATGCATTCTTTCCTGTCTACTCGTTTCCTGTGCCTGTCATTCTTTTGCGCTCGACTTTTATGTTTAGCTACAGATTCTTTCCAAATTAAGTGTCCAGTGTAGTAAGTAGTAATTAGTTTAGGTGCAGAGCTGTAGTGTTTATGCAAAGAAATCTGCATTACCAACTATCACCGATTTGGGCCAGCAAAGCACAATCAGAATAGGCAGTTCATTGTTTTCTTGAGCAAAAAAGAAAGGTACACTGTACGCTAGACAAAGGTACACTTTTCACTTTAAAGCAACAGGAATACGATCCGTGCACACAGCCATTTCTAACGTATGGGGCTGAGACATGGATAACAAAGCAATGCGAGAAGTAGTTGAGGACCAAGCAGCATGCAATGGAATTAAAAATAATGGGTGTAACGCCAAGAGACTGAAGAAGGGCAGAATGGGCCAAACAGAGGTAGAAGATATCCTACTAGAATAAAAATAATGGGCCGGAAATGACCATGCAATTCTTAGCACAGACAACCAAGTAGAAAGCATGAAACAGAATAGTTACAAAGGGTGGGTTGGGAAACATAGTTAAGGAAGTAAGTGAGAAGTAGTGATGTCATTGAGTTTCACAGGGATCAAATCGAATTCGCTCGCACAGGAGAGATTAAACTGGAAATCATTAGGAGAGGCTTCCGTCCTTCAGTGGACCTAGAAAGGCCGAGAATGATGATGAAAAAGGGTATGTGGCTCACCTTCTGGTTGAACATCTTAAGCTTGTCAGCGAGGCTCATCTTCGACAGATCATCCTCCTTGACTTCAGGCTGCTTGTCCTGATCCTTGATCTCCTTGGCAGCCAACTGCACTTCCTCCGTAGTGACAGGCTGCGTCTGGGAGCGCAAACGGCGTTCGGCTATGTTGGTGAAACGAGCCGGCCGCTTGCGCTCGGCCCCGTTTCGCGGAGCATCGAGCACTCCTGACTTCTTGAACATTGACACCTTTGCTGCCACGCTAAGCTTGCTGGGATCCAAAGCGTCATCGTCTTTGTTTGCGTCAACAGTTCTGGCCGGGCATGGCACCCTCTTTTGACCACTGCAAAAGAGACGACTTGATGGAATATCAGAGCTACTGTATGGGTATATATATAAGCTACCCAAATCATACCGTATTTACACGGTTGTAGGTCGACCCATTTTGCCTTAATTTAAAATCCAAAGTTGGGGGGTCGACTTAGGATTTACAACTAATTTATATTGCAAAATCTCACAAAAATAGCTTTCCTGCACTGCTTTCAAGCACTGCCATGAAACCACCTTCGAGACTGTTTCCTTTGGATCTCTGTAAATATATTTTTTAATAAAATGTGCTCACGTTTTTCATTTCTTTTTTGTCGTGCGATTTTAGGAGCTTCGATCTACACTTGAGTAGACTTACAATCGTGTAAATACAGTAAACAAAGAGAAATGGCCGTTTTTATGCTGACCCTGAGAAAAAGTTTCTGGTTGAAATTTTTAGCACTAATTCTGCATCAATATTGTACAGAGTACACTGATCTTCTGTAATACATAAATTACAAGAAAAAAATTGCCCTCCAATATCTTATAATGCGAAGAATTTTCCAGCCACTTTGAAGGAAATATACATATTAATTTATAACTTCGGACTGATTTCGCATAAAAAAAAAGAACGTGAATACATTTACTAACAAGTACACTTAAAACCTCTGCACAAGCAACATGAGTTCTTGTCCCTTATATGAGGTGTCTTTTATAGCAGAGCAACACATTCTCATTTTGTGATAAACCCTTACTTCGATGTAGGCACAGTAGTGACTCATACCTAAATGTCTGTTATATCAGTGTCTCTTATAAAGGGGTCCAACAGTACTTTAAGAACACTTTTCAAAAGAAATGTAAAATAGTCTTAGAACTGGTTTTGTACTTAGAGCAAAAGAGAGGAGGTCAAAAAATGTTGACATCGGTTTTCATAAGAATCAGTTCAACAAGGCAAGGAATCACGTCTGTAGAGATGTAGCCACAGCTTTGCTTTCACTTGTGTGAATATCTGTGGACACACATGCATCATCTACAGAATGTTAATGGCTAATATGGCTTGGAAGATACTTAAAATCTATTTCAGGGGTACATGTTTTTCAACTGCAAGCGGACCACTTCGTGGCATCGATACCACTTTGATTTTAACATAAACACCAGCCACCTGCACCACTACTAGTACATTTGCCGACATGATCCTTGCTAGTGTTCTCCTAGCAGACGTTTTCAACGGAAATAGGGGGCAACTCCTTCATCGACTTGCACTGGAATGAAGAAGTTTACGTCCTTGCCTCGACAGTGCGCTTTCGCAGGGGTCACGCATGTATAAAACATCACAGAGGGGATAGTAGCAGCAACCAAGGAGCCTTCATTAAAAAGAGTTCTCGACTTGACTGTGTGCTTACTCACATAGCCAGCTAAGATTTGATAAATGTCATTCTGGGTCCTACCTCACTAAGCCCTATTTGAAACCAAGACGGCAACTAGGTGTCGCAATCAATCCAAATAATTAACTATTGCTTGCTTGAGCAAACAAGATTTCCAGCTGTGATAAGTGGTAGGTCATTAGCTACTTATTGCAACAGAAAAGGTAACAAGATGTAAAATTTTTGTCAGTACTCTAAGAAATATACTTGTACAGTGCATATTGTAGTACAGGGCTGAAATTGTAGTCTTTAATACAGATGTGCCTATGTTGACATTTAATGTAACATACAGTCCTTTCATTCATACTATTAGCGCTGAAGACCAGCTACCCTTTAAGTCACCTGAAGGTATTGATGTAACGCTTGTACACGGCTGATGGCAAATGCCAAAACCACAGGTGTTCACTAGCTGTACAAGTGAACATACGAAGAGAGGGTACAAATGGCCTCACAAACTCCCTAATTACTGCCGTGAAAGTTGCACTATTTGCGGTTTGGGAGAAATCTAGCAGCTTCACTTGGCGAGTGAAAACCAGTTGCCAAGCGGCTTTGCCAAAGGCACAAGAATTTCGGTTGGGATCAATTAGTATGAGGTAATTGCTAGCGGCATGCTGTGTGTAGCGCAATTAATGCAGCTGATGCAGAGCGCGGAGCCAGTTCTCGACCCGTCAACTAACGAAGCTGATTGGTTCCGCGAAGGCGAGCGCGGGAGACCTGCGCACGGCAAATGAAGGAGACTCCTTCGTTCACACTGTTCACGAGCGGAGCCATCATGGTCACTCCCGTTTGGGACTAGAAGGGGAAAGCTTACTCGGAATAGCGCCTGGCAAGAAGCAGGCCAGGCACCGCCATCTGAGTTTAAGTCATTGTTGACATGCACGTGTGTTGAGAATGCCGCGGGGACGCAACCACTGGGCTGACCATGGTTGCGACGCAGAGACTAGCATATCCTCTCCCGCTATACGTCATTACCGGGTGTTGTTAGGATGGCGGGGCGCTTCGCTGTCGCATGCACACAGAGCCCAAGGGTGTACTCACCGCACTTAAGGAGGCTTGTACGAAGCAACATTGAATGAGAGAGCTCATGGGGCTCGAGCATGAGAATGGCTACCGACGGAGGTCGGCCAGGTATGAGAGAGAGTGTGACACGCGGAGCACCTATCCTCTCGCGTGTTGTACTTCATAATGTGATACTTACCAATGCAGTGCCTGTTATGAAAATGTTTTTGCGATTGGTTGTGGCAATGCGAGCCCGTGTGATTGGCTTTTGTGGAGACCCTTTGTTCAACCAAGGGTTGAAAAGAGAATGTTTGAATGTGAAATAAAAAGCGGAGGTTCGGGCTTGGACTGGCAGGCGCCTGAGGCTGCGATAAAGCGTCTCTTCACCGGACTACGGCTCTTCCTTCGCGCTGCCACTGTGCACTCGAGTCATCAAGGGGACCCATTCCGAACCTCAAACATCTTCCCTCCTTAGCCAGTGTAGAAGCTTGATTGATTTGTGGGGTTTAACGTCCCAAAACCACCATATGATTATGAGAGACGCCGTAGTGGAGGGCTCCGGAAATTTCGACCTCCTGGAATTCTTTAACGTGCACCCAAATCTGAGCACACGGGCCTACACTTCGGCTTCCATCGGAAATGCAGCCGCCGCAGCCGGGATTCGAACCCGCGACCTGCGGATCAGCAGCCGAGTACCTTAGCCACTAGACCACCGCGGTGGGGCAGCTAGTGTAGAAGCTAGTCGAGGAGGAGGAAATTAGCTGGCTCTGAAGTATTTTTGACAGCCTAGTAACATGAGAGGCACACTTCACGAAAGATCGAATCGTCCAAAGTGTGCACACGATCAGTGTAAATCAGTCTTTTCGCAATGGAATGCATCTTGCCAGTGCAATGCGGTCTGCTTTACGACATCTGTCAGCAGACATTGCAGCCTTTCTGAAGCACTTAAAGAAGCTTTGTTATTTGAAGTCATTGCTAGTAAAGCTGTGGGTAGCATGGTGACACAGCTGCTGCATAATTCAGATGCACTCCAGAGTCAACCAGGCACAGGCTAATCAGACATAGAAGAGAATTCAGGAAGTGCAACAGCTTTGTTACGGCCAACAACCACAGTAGAAAGTTTGAGAATGGGGAAATGAGGCCCTCTCATGCATATTATAGAAAACTCTAATGCTTCTCCTTCAAAACATTATTCCTCAGCATGTGTACATGACACAATTTTGTGTTAAGTTTCTATGAGCCAAGTTACACGGTGAATTTTATTTTTGATGAATCTTATAAGGGTCCTTTTGTTTCCCCTCAATCATATTGAAGTAACCATACGTATACATTTTCACAAGCTTGTTTCAGACACAATTTAGCTTTTTGTGTGGGACAGTAATTTCACGAGCTAATTAAGCAACAAAAACACCACTGTTCTATAACTTCATGATGAAAGTGCCCCTCAAGTGAAAATTTCATTTTTGGTGCATAGATGAATAGGCATATCGGTGGAATGTGCAGCAATGCAAGCAGTTTTTGAACAGTGGTCAGTATAAGTGTGATTACAATACACAATACTTCATTTCTTTCATGGGGAATATGCGATAGGAAACATGGCACAGTGGTTAAATATAAAAATATGGTTGTAATACTGCCATTCCCCAATCTTGGATTATTATGCAATACTATATTACACATTAGCAATATTATTGCAGTCGCGCACCTCCCCACCTTCATTAAAAATTGTTTTCTACTTTTTCAGCTCTATGTGCCGAGAAATTAACATTTGAAATTGCAAGTAGTCGTATTTGCAACGTTGTAGAGGTGTTTTGGCCAACTAAGACCACGCTGCCAACTTAAGATATGTAAATAGGCACTGCATTTCCTTACAGCATTGTTTTATATCATTTGAAAAATTCATGCTTTCAAGCTTCACTACTTCATTCGCTTGCAGAAATCCATGACACTATCATGAATCTGAAACCTCCTTAACGTCTTAAATTCACCATTTAAAGCTAGAATGAACTTTGACACTACCACTGGGATTATGCACGAATTTCAAAGGACATTGAGAAATGAAGCCATAACATCCACAACATTACTACAAGATGTAACGGGGTAGTAGTGCAGCTACACTTACGAGGCATCCATTTTAATGGCCTCTTCCAACTCTTCCGATGTAACTGGCAGCGTTCGCCGGCGTTCCCGCTGCTGACGAGTGCTCTTTGAAGGCGGACTGTAAGGCTGCGGGAACTCTGGTTTTTTGCTGTATACCATGTTGGTCCTGCCTGGGGGCCTCCTTGTTGAATATACTCAACGAAGCTTCCTTGAGTACCAAATTGCGAAAGGATCGCACAGACTCCAGGCTGCATGCAAGAAGATTGAATTTTATACATACCAGCTTAGACATGCACTACATACTTTATAAAGAGATTCCCAATAAAACTGCAGCTTCACCACAGTCTCTACAGTACCCCAAATCTTGACATACCAATACCGGAGACCATTGTTGTGGCCCTTAAACATTACAATCTAAAGGTGCCACTAGTGTATGCTCCTCATATCATCTGGCAGCCACTAGAATGTACCCGCATGCAGCTCACGTGCTTGACTTCCAAAGAATAAGTTTTCTGAATGCAGTGTGGTATATAATATTAACAGTGAACTAAACAAATGAACTAAACAGTTTATAACACAAAGCAATGGAATAAGATTTCAAGTTACTTCTCTGCAATGGCAACAACCTGGTTACATTAAAGCGGCAAGCATTTGAAAATGTGCTGCTGTAACGAAGTAAAAAATGAAGAAGGAGCACGGTCCTGTCACTGAATGAGTACATTCACAATAGAAACTTGGTTGACATGGCATGCTAAACAATTCAACATCCCTCGCCTTATCAAAAAAAAAAATGGAGGCTTAATTAAAGCTAAGGAGAGAGCATTGTGCAATGCACTGCACATTCTAACAGTTTTCTTCCTCCATGCTGGGAATTGAATTATATATCAGTCTAGCAGCACAACACTCCAGTTGTTGGAGCTAATAATATTAGCCATGCATTCGTGTACAATTAACACAGCAATAAAATTAGGCAACATGGAAAGACAAGTCACCTCCCATAATCTCAGATCAGATTGCCATATCAGAAACCACAGATCTACCCCACCACCACACTTTCAAGAACCTCAATCATGTACACCCACGCCCGTTCTGTACACTCAAAGGCACCGTGATTTTTTTAAAGATGACAGTCTTTCTTGGGGACCTTCGACGGAAAAATTTTGGTCTGTCTGCCTGTACATTTGTCTGTTTTTCCGCCCTTAACAGTACCCTAAAAAGCACTTGACAATACCCCAAACAGCTGACCACATCCGCAGCGCCCGCCAGTATTGCTCAAGATTCAGCATTGGTACTTGTGCAATTGCCTGCCAATTAAAAAGCAATTACTGCGCATATCTGAGGCACCATAACAACACGTCAATATCCTCTATGTGTATCTTTTACTAGAAAAGGCATACACAAGTAATTCTAAGGACCGTACGTTTATCCCGCTGCCCTGACTATGCAACACTTACACGAAAAGGCAAGTGTTTCCAACTCTTTGCTAAGACGACTCGGTGGTGGCATTTACCCCTCGCCTTGCATTCTACACCTTATCACCAAGATAACCAAGATATTCCAAGATAACTGCCAGATAGCACTCATGTCTCATGTGTGACAGATGTCTCATGTGTGAGCTGCACGCACGAGGCACCTTCAGAATACCATTCACCGATTTTCTTGCGCAGAACATCAAATAAACATTTTGTTCACTCTCTCCAGATGCAACGCTGTGGTCTTTCGATGACATTTGCAGTGTAATATGCAGATACGGGGCCATTTTTTGTTTTCGTCACCAACAGTTAGTGAAGCAATACAAGGTTTCGCTTGAAAAAATCAGCCTGCAAGGTAAAAAAAACAACAACACATACCTATCTGTAGCCTTGATCTCACTAGCTGTCACAGGCTGAGTCTTGTAGCAGGAGGCATTTCGCCTGAAGTATCTTTTATCCTCTGGTGATGATGACACACTGCTGGAAAAGCCAGAAAGTGGCCTGAAACGACAATTTCTTTCCTTTTATCCTGCTGGAAGTAAGGATGTGAACTATGTGAATGTTTCTGAGCAAGTTCAACAAAAAGCTTTCTCTCCAGCCAGTCTAACACCTTGCCAGGAAAATGCATAAGAAGCACCTTCACTTATGCATATGTAAACAATTCCCACCTGCTATAATGAGCAGAATAAAATATCTTGTGCAATTCTTGAATATATATAAGACATGCAAATGCCTGAATTTTTTTTAAAGTGCACATGAAGCAATCATTACAAAAAAAATACCTCTAGACTAGATCCTATGATGAAAACTAAATCTACATACAAGGCATCCCCACCTGACATCTTATTATACATTACAAATCTGTGTCAGAAGCAGCGACTCCTTATAATGTTAACTGGGAATTTCTAAAATATTCCCCGATTTCAGTTAATACATTACAATTAGTAAATAAACAGACTGAATCTTCATAGCTCTGTCATTGCCAATTAGGACTTGGAGAAGGAGCTCTAGCCACCTGACAGTCACCAAGCGCCACTTATTATTCATATTCTCTCGCTAATTTTTTTTTTCTACCCCAACTAGAGTTGACATTGCGGACATATCTGGAAGGAATAAATATTCAATAATCTTATGTGCTAAGATCTCAAACTGAATACATCGAATATAAAAAATGATCGATTCATGAACAAAACTCAGATTTTCTAACCTTTTAAATGTCACACTAGGATGCATCTGCTTTCTAGATAGGAATAAAGCACAGTAAATCAGAAGTAAGCATTGTAAATCATTCAAAGCACTACAGTGTTATAAAATAAACTTGGGCTGGTCGGTTGGCCTTCATGATGAACAGGCAGGGCAACCACACAGGAACAGAGAAAAGAAAGTACATGAAACAGCGCAGACTCCCAATTGAGCTTTGATTTCAGAAACGCCATTAAAATAACAGCCCCAGTAAGTTTACCGCATGTGCAAACTGAAGTAATGCAAAAATCATTGCATGTTAACAACAAAAACCAACTGATCAAAATCAACAAAAAATAGATAATTTGTACATCAAACTCATATGCACTGGTCTAAATATTTACACAATTATGCAATGTCACCAGTGGTTGACTGACACACGAACCAGATTGCTTTGTAATACAATCCTCCTATAACTGGTTCTCATGTCTCTTCAAAATAACTACCTCACTAAATTTCACACCCACAACTGTTAACATGTGAAGCCAAATGACTATGCATACCCTCAGATTATCAATGAGTTCTTGTGTTTTTTCAACCTAATGTTCACACATCTGCCTGTCAGATGTAGAGCTCCCCCCCACCTTAAATGTTTTCTAATATACTACTCCCACAATATAATAATTGTTGATGTTTAATGCCGCAAAACCAGCACGTGATTCTAAGCAGCACATTGCAGGGCTTTGGCAATACTGCTTATCTGGGGTTCTTCAATGGGAGACGCTACCCGAAAAGTTTATTTAATCTGTGCCTTACGACAATGAAACTCCCGATGTTTACATAGGTTTTTATGCCATTTTCAAATATACAAGTTGCACATTTTTCTAGGCTTGTGTGAATGAATAGTCAATTTTAGGTCGGAAGCAGATTTAGCAGCGAACAGTGATTTTATCAAATAATTTCAAATCGAATTCGAATAGTATATACCAGATATTTAAAATAATGGGCATATTTGTCATAATTTAATGAACCTGCACAATATTTTTTAATTGAAACAAGGACACTGCATATGCCATTTTTTTTTTTTTGTTATAGTTCAAAAGCAGTGGAAACAACTTTGAATAGTAGCAGGATGTCACTTTCTGTAGAATGTTAGGGATAACCTGCAACAAATGTTTTAAAATTAATATATTCATGGGCATATAGGCTGGTTTAACAAGTCTTTAAACTTCGAAATTATTAATCAATGCGAGTAAATAAGTTAAAAGTGGAGCTTCACGTATTTTTTTTTGCTAAGATGTTTTCGTGGCTTATCACACTTTCACTGCAGTGAAACGACCTTTGCAGGATACTACATACAAACAATACACATTTGAATAGGAGTTTTCACGGCTTTGCAACCCTCCGCACAACTGAAACCTTTACAAAGAACTAATGTAGAACTATTCATGCATTTTGAATAATTCAAAATTTTCAATAATTTAAATTCTAATCGAAGTTAATTCAAACACCGTGATATTCGTTTGTATGCTCAAAGGATTCGAATATTCGTACAAGCCTACAGTTTTCGTTTTGCACCATGACAATGTGTAAAATATAGCTCTTTTGGGACACTTTCTCCTTGTTAAGTTATAAGCAATTATTGGCTAATATTGCTGCTCATTATCTATAGAATGCAAATAACTAACAGAGAGGGTGTATAAGGATCTAATGAACAATAAAAATTTAAAAAATTCTTTAAATGCTCAGCCCATACTAATTGCTTGACGTTCATAATAACTATGCAATATAATTGGTATCAAGTACTAAATGAGATATTTACACTCCTCACGTGTTAAGCAATATGTGGAAAAAAAATTTAATCCTGATCTGGCCATCAGAAGAACAAAAAAAAAATGACATCGAGACCCTTTTTAAATGTTGCAATGAAAGCTCGTTGAGGTGGCTAACGTACTTAATGAAATTATTTTTTCAGCACAGATTTCTTCAATCAATTATGCTTCTTTTGAGTTAGTGGCTTCGATGAACTCAAGTGCAATGCAATGCAAGCGGTCAGGTGACAATTTTTAGGGGACTCTAGACAATGAACTCTTAGTTTCCAATAGCCACCTCACAACCTCGATATTTTTTCACAAAAGTAGAGAAACCATACTTGTGAAAACAAGTAAAAACAAAAATATGTAATTTTGTTTTTCGAGTAGCATCTTCCCTTAATGTGCACCAAGATCTACGCACACCAGCCTCCAGCATTTCCATCTCCACCAAAAATGCGGCCGCCGCAGCTGCCATTCGATCCCATGACCGGCGGGTGAGCGGTCAAGCACCACCATAACACATATCGCATAACAAGTGTCGTTAAAGTGTCCAATTCTACAATATTTATGCGTTTTTTGTATATTTTATCTTGAATTTTCTAGCAAACATTTTCTTGCAAGCTTCATGGGGACGAACAACACATTTTTGTGCATGCGGGAAACTTTCAGGGGCTGTTCTTTTAACAGTAGTTGCAAGTCAGCGCTGTGCTCCATGTAATTTCCTCTGCATGTGTAGTTGCACTGCCGGTCGATCATGAAGCAGTGTTGGCTCTTCTATCGTTAAGAGGTAATCTTCAAGGTAATCTTTTAGTTTCAATAAAAATATAGGTCAGTACGTCAGCTTTGGTACAGATATCAATAAATCCTACACATCCTTCCACCCCAAAATTAGCATTGAGAAGCATCATCAAACACACGTCGCGCTTGGTGTGACAGTCTGAAAATTCCCCGGAATACATGGCAGAAAGAACGTTTAGAGAAGCTAAAGTAGGACCGGAGATATAGCGATCGCAATAGTTGTTCGATCCATTCCCTCTCAATCTGTTTCATTCTGCAGAAGAGGGCAGCGCCACTCGCAGCGTACAGCCCAGTGCTTTAGTCACCTCACTTCAATGTTGTGTGCTGTCCTTCCGCGTAACGTTGCGATGCTGATGGCTGCTGCTGGCAACTCAAAAATCTGGTCGGCTGCTTCTCGCTGAGCTGTAGCTGTTGCTTATCACTATTTACTGAAAGAAAATACAGTTTTTCTCTCTCTCTCTCTCTCTCTACTCAAGGAACTGAATGACACTTCGAGTGCACACGGATGAAGCCACCGCAAGCGGCCATTTTGTCCCAGAAGTGAGTGTGCGACCAGACACTTGCTGTTTGCGGGCGAGTGTTCCTTTTTTTCCTGTAGCACTGTAAACTGCTCAAGCTGACCAGGAAGGTCTTCGAGGACGACATTTCGCCAGAAAGTCCCCAAAATTGTATGAAGCTTTGCTTATTTTACTGGTAAATAAGCAGTGTGGTTCACTTTGGAATCTTCTGCACGTTTGCGAGCTACTTTACAAAAAAAAAACCACCAGGCCTCCATGAAAACAGCCAGCACAATCGCAGCGAAAGCTGGAAAAGCGGCCTTTCGGGCCCTTCTTTATTCACTAATTGGGTAACTTCTACAAGCACACTTGTGGGGTGCCCACTACGCCATTAACCATACCAATTTTTGTGAAGTATAAAGGTTTTCACTGTAACATCCTTAGTCATTCTTTGGAGAAGCGCGGTACCCGGTACACTTTTGCAAAGAATGCAGAGTAATTTTTTGATGCTGTGACTGACAACGAAGAATCATGTCGGAAGCTTTTGTAATGGGTTGGAGCATTCTACGACCCACTCGTTACGCAATTTGCAATGTGTGACAGCTGGTTGTTCCTTTGCTGCTATAAAATTATTACTCATATCATTGCGATTCCTTTCCCAACTTCAAGGCTGCATAAGGCCAGTTTGCAATAGAGTTTCAAGCGCTGGCGTGGTTCCGTGGTAGAATACTGGGCTGGCACGCAGGGGACCTGGGTTCGAATATTGTTACGAGAAGGAGACTGACTCGGAGAGGTAGTCACAGAGATAAGCTCGTGCCAGTCTATCTGCTTGGTCTTCTTCAACTCCGTGCACTGGCCCCCGGTGGCGGAGGCACTGTCCCGGTGCTTTGATTGATTGATATGCGAGGTTTAATGTCCCAAAACCACCATATGATTATGAGAGATGCCATAGTGGAGGGCTCTGGGAATTTCGACCACCTGAAGTTTCTTTAACGTGCTCCCAAATCTGAGCACACGGGCCTACAACATTTCCGCATCCATCGGAAATGCAGCCACCGCAGCCGGGATTCGATCCCGCGACCTGCGGGTCAGCAGCCGAGTACCTTAGCCACTAGACCACCAGGGCCGGGCTGTCCTGGTGCTTTAAATGTCGTTATCTGATGCATTCTAGTAGGGCTTGAGCCGCAAGACTTGTACAATATCACTGGACCTCACAGCAGATGATGATGAATAGATGGGGCTGATCTCGTAGGTGGGAGGTGTTACTTGACGCAATATACGGTAGGGTCTCGTGTAATGAGAGAAGTTTTTCTGATAGGCCCAGCCGACGAGGGAACCAGAGTAAAACGAGGGTACCGGGAGCGAAATGTACGTCTCTATGTTCCGCATCGTACCGACAGCATTGGATTGGTTTGCGACGCCATCAGCCGAGCACGAGCGAGCTAACGGGCATGATCAGCTCGCGTAATCGCGTCGCGGGCATACTCGCTGGTGGATGAGGTGTGAACCGAGATGACTGTGTCCAGTGGTACAGTCGGCTCTCTTCCGTACAATAAGCAGAACGGCGAAAAGCCCGCTGTGTCGTGACGAGATGAATTATATGCGAAAGTTGCATAGGGTAAGGCAAGGTCCCAGTCTCTGTGGTCGGGCGACACGTACATAGCGAGCATACTTGTTAAAGTGCGGTTAAATCGTTCCGTGAGGCTGTTTGTTTGAGGGTGGTAAGCGGTTGTCAGTGTGTGTTGCGTGCAACAAGAACGCAGAATGCCGGCGATGACTTAGGATAGAAATGTTCAGCCACGGTCTGTGAGGAGTTGTCTCTGAGCACCGTGAATCAATATAATGTCCCGTAACAAGAAGTCAGCGACGTAGGTAGCACAGCTGATTGGTAGAGCTCGCGTAATAGCGTAGCATGTAGCGTAGTCTGTAATCACAGCTATCCATTTGTTTCCCAATGTTAATGAGGGAAAGGGACCAAGCAGGTCTAACCTAACACAGTAAAATGGTTCCGCGGGTACGTCAATTGGTTGAAGATGGCCAGTGGGTAGCAGTCATGGTGTTTTACGACGTTGCCATAGGTCACACGTGGCGACGTATCAGCGTACAGAGCGAGCAAGGCCTGGCCAGAACAAACGGCGCCGGATGCGCTCATACGTGCGGAATATGCCGAGGCGTCCAGCCATGGGAGCGCCATGAAGTTCGGGGAGAACACAGCGGCGCAAATGCTTAGGCACAACAATGAGAAGGTCGGGCCAGTCTGGTCGGAAAGAGCGGCGATATAGCACACCCTTTTGAATGACAAAGTAGCGGACAGAAGCATCATTTAGGGAGGATCCATACGGCAGATGATGTCAAGCAGCACTGGATCACGCTTCTGTTCTTCCTCAATATTAAGGAAGTCTGACATTGACAAGATAGAGTTCTCCGTGGGCTCGTCAGTGTCCTCAGGATAGTCGGCAGGGTACCGGGAGAGGCGATAGGCATCATGGTGTAGGCGGCCAGATTTGTAGACCACCGAATAGGAAAACTCTAGCAGGCGCAAAGCCCAGCGACCAAGGCGGCCTGATGGATCTTTCAGAGAGTTGAGCCAGCAGAGTGCGCTGGTGGTCGGTAACTACCGAAAATAGGCGACCGACACAGGAGTAGTAGTCACAGAGATAAGCTCGCGCCAGTCTATCTCCTTTGTCTTCTTTAACTCCACGCACTGGTACATAGCAATATCATTGTGTCCTTAGAGTTTTTTATTTACTTAGATTTTTTTCTTATTTTATGCAATAGTGGCTACGAACACCAGCGGCGATGAACAACAATGGCGCACGCGACCCTTCTTGCATTCTTGTAACAGCTTTCACTGTAAAATGAACACAAAGGGCAGGCCTAGCATAATCTTTTATCGTCGCCCTATGTTGGCAATATAGCTATGTTGGCAATAGCTGGCTACGTTGAACCGTAGGCTTTCTGTGTCTGATTCAGCAGCGGCAGATCTACTGTGCATCGTTCTACTGGTGTAGTATGAACAACACTGGGAGGAAATCTGAGCGTATATCCACGGATTTGTAAGACGCCAAACGCAGGTGCCACGATACATACACTCATCACGGGCCATACTACTGGACAACCGAGTGGCGCTGTTCGCAGTGCCATACATGGTTATTGCCCTAGTGTGACACAAGGTACTGGGAGACTGGCACACTTCATGACAGCATGCTCAACACTAGCATGTGGCACACCCAGTTTGGGCTGAAATCTGGCCTTTTAAATTCCTTTTGGAAATTCTGGTCATCGCTGAGATCGTAATTCTGACTAAAACACAAGCACTGAGGGAAAAAAAGTAAAGAAAGCCATAAGTGAGCGAGGCTCGAACCCATATGGTCGAGACTTGCATTCCAATGTGAAGCTGACATGCTACTACTGCCCTACTCTTCAGAGACCAAGCATTAGTGCTTTTACTTTATACGTACCCGATTCAGGTGGCATATTTTTTATGTTAGCTTGTTTAGAAATGCAGATTTTTTTTTTTTTTGGTCAGAGCTCGAAACAACCTAAGGTAGTCAATTCTTTGTGTTTCTGGGATCAGAACGCCCTTCTGGGCTGTGTTGTTGAAAAACATGTAAGCGCAACAACAAATGCGAGCTGCATTCGACTTCCCAGCAAACTTCATACACGCATGCTCGAATGTAAACTGGTGCGCTAAGCTTGGTATACGACAGCTGGCCTCTGCTGGAAGTAGGTTATCTTTTTCATAATTCGCAACGAAGCTTTTCCATTTTCAGTCTGTTTATTTAGGTAACTAACATTTATTTTACCCAATGCCATTGGGAACAAGTGCATCTGATACAAACAGCACCCTTGAATCATGTCGAATATTGGCCAATAATCTTTTGAGACATCTGATGACAGACACTCGACGTCTCTTAACAGATGCCCGCTGGCACCCATTGACAAGAGTGAGAACCGGCCTGTTCGAAAAGAGCGCCCCTGAGAAAACAGCAACTTCACGCTCCACATGAAGCCTTTATGCAGCGTGCTTGGTAGTAATATTTCAGTAGTTCATAACCATGTCTGCTTTCCACAGTGAAGTGTTCTTTCAACAAGCCCGAAGGGTGCTTCATGACCCCTTGAATTTGTGACCCCCGGAATTCGTGTGTGCAAAGTCTGGTGTCCCAATCACGCAGCTTAGGATTTATGAAAGAATAAGCAAGTTGTGCACAAACACTTCCGTTTAGCTAATTATGATGACTTGTGGCAGAATTTCCGTACAGAGGGGTGGAAGTGGACTCGTGTTTTGGAGCCGCTTAGGAAGCAGGATTAGTGCTGTTTTGGAGCAGCTTTGGCACAGTAAAAAGGAAGTTATGGAGCAAGTTCAGCACACCAAAAGGTACATTTTGAAGAAACATGAGTTAGTTTCAGAGCAGCTTTCTGGGGTCAAACACTGTCATCAATCTAAGTTTTTTCTGGTAATAAAAATTCCGATGGTTTTCACTCAACAATCAGAACTAATGAGCTTACTATTACCAGACTTGTCCACCCATAAAAAAGTGTGTGTGTTGCCCATCGTTAAACACCACAGCTGACAAAGAAATAACTCAGAAAATAAGAGATAAGTGATGCTTATTTCACGTTTTCATGACCACTGTACTCCATTTCACACATTAAATGCAATGCTGCGGAAGCTATGGGAAAATGTTCGGTCAGCAAAATGTACCACTCCGCGTGTATCGTAGCCAGTTTTCGTCCTCGTAAACGCTCGCACTGAGCCGAGCAGGTGCTACTGCTGTGACGCTCCTTATTTCTTCAAAAAAAAAAAAAAACTAAGAAAAGACTTCCTGGTGGGTGCTTTGGGCAGCATTTTCTGTGGTACTGTGTTCCTTGATTGGTGGTGATGGTGCACACTAGGAGATGCACATTTGTACATTGCATGCGCACTGCCGTTTAGTGCATGATCATGCCGCATTTTCAGCTAGTGCAAATTATCAAGGTTTCACTGTACTACTAGATAATTCACAGTTACTCATATTGCTACCGCCACATTTTTGGGAAACCACAGTGATAACAGCAATGAGACGTGCACTAGCAAACCTCACGAATGCATTAAATTACGAAAGTGATCTAACTACACTGGATATGGATGGGGTTGCGTCCTTTGTGTAGCCAGTGTTGCTCAGTAAACAACAATAATCAACTAGACTTGGTGGTTTACACGTAGTCGACAATATCGGGGAAAGTTGACGTTTATGCCCAGCCTAACGCAGCACTTTCAACCCTGCGTACAACCAAACATTTTTTTTTTAATGAATCCTCATATTTGCACACATGGCTTTACAAATGAAAACCAGCTACAATGAACTTCAAGAGAGCGAACAAAAAAATTACTGTATCAAGAACTCTGTCTAACATTACCCTCAGTCAAGTGTATGCCACTGTCGGCTCTATCTATTTTACAAATGAACCAGAGCTCTAGGGGTTAGACAGAACGTTACGAGGTATGATAAGCAACAAAATTTGAGTTCACTCTAGTGTATATCGGAGAGGATAATTTAGAACTTGCATGGCACCAACCTGAATTATGAACAAGTGTGAATATTTTTGATAACATGCTCAGTCACCAACCCCCTGTATTGTTCCCTTTCTTTCAGGATTACAAACACTGGATATAGAAGCAAAAAACTGCTTTCGACTTACGGAGATCTCAATGTAATGGGCCTCTCACTTCCTAGGGAGACTTCAACCACGGCTCCGTGTGGAGAGATGTCAGCCTGAAGACCAGTGCCACGATGTCCCAAAGTGCTGTCCAATGGCGGGCAGCTCACAACCTTAGACACTGACACTGACCCTTGCAGATCCGACTGTGTGGAATCTACCACAACACACTCGGGGAGCCTAGTGAATTCAGTCTTTTGTTCTGTACCAATCCGAACAGCACTGGCACTTCCGGCACTTTCCACAAAACTGAGCACAGGCTTGGTTTCAAGTTCCGTGGAATGCGACCGCCTCCGAACAACGATGGTGTCTCCTTTGTCCGGGGAGTGTTCGTGGCTCCAGCGCCTTTGCTGCTGATTTTTGAGTATGGGCTTCAGGCGGTCTTCGGCCTCCTCGTCTACAGACTTGCGCTTGAGGATAGGTTTTGGCTCGCTGTGTACGCTAGTGTCCTCGTGCTTCTTGAGAATTGGCTTGGGCTTGGCAGTGTCCTCTGGCTTGGCTATGTCCTCCTTGCTTTTGAGTATGGAGTGAAGCTCAGGAGAGTGGTCCCTCTCTTCAGAGCTGCTTGAGCGATTCTTCAGGATGGAGTGGCGCGGTTTGTCGTCTTCTCTAATGTTAGCCTTTAAAATGCCGTGCACAGACTCTGAAAACGAGGCACTCCGTTCACTTTTTCTCTGAAGCTTCAGTTCTTCAGGTTCTGCCTCTACAATAATGCCACCCTCATGAGAAGATTCTTTATCAAATGTAACTTCATTAACTGATTACTACACTCTTTTCTGAAGCTTCGAGATGAAAACCTTGCTTTTCGGTGGAGTGGAAGCCTAGTTTCTTTACTGGCAGCCCCACTCTAACAGTGTTAACAGAGTTCTGTACATGGGAAGTAGGGTCACTACATAGACTTGAGGAACCTAGACTGGACTGCACCGTCTCACAGCTTTCAGTGCCGACTAATATTCTATCTAGAGCTGGTGTGTGGTGCACCTGTAGTCTTAACTTTTCTTGACTACCAGTGATAGTGGACGAGTTTTCCGAGGCAGGTGGCTTGCACTCATCGGGGACATTCAAACTAGTCACAGTGGCACCCGAAGCTTTCACCGTCGCTGGTGGCTGTTTTACAGGAGAGTACGACTTCGTCCAAGGCCTGAGTACTTCTGGCTCGGTGGACTTAGTCTGGACTACCTGGCGAAGCAACTGATGCCAGTGACTACACAATCACTGGGCAGTCTCACTCTAGCAACAGCCCTTTAGAACTAGGACCTGCTGGTCAGAAGGCTGCAGGTACGACGTTGAGGTTGTGTGAAAGGTCACGCTGAACACCTTTGGTGATGTTTGCTCTCCCTTGTTGCATGGAACGTCTGGGAGGGCTGAGCAGTGCTGGTTGAAGGCAGTGGCTTGGGGCTCTTCCTCCCCAGACAAAGTGCTGTTGCAACTTGCGTCTTCCTCACCAAACGTATCTAAAGCGTCCGACTGCTTGTCAACCTTTGGCTGTGGACTCACCTGTCATGCAAAAACACAAAAGCAGAATTGCAGCCGGCACATGTTGCAAGAAGTAAGATCTCAACGAGTAAAAGAAGTCAAGAACAGTCTGTGCAGATTAGAGAAGATTGGCAAATTATTACACAGCACAGCCCACAGCTTAAAACATGCAGCTGTTATTTCGCTGTGACCACAGAGATATAGCACCAAGACCAGAGAATAACTGATTGTGTGTTATATAAATGTGAATTGAACAAATCATATTAGCTTTTTTAATTTCAATAAAGGTGAAGAAATGTTTTAGTCATGCTTTTATTAGTGGATTGCTGTTCATGCCCTCTAATAGTGGACTGTGCTGTACACCTAATACACTTCCTTGCAATGTTCACCTCAGTTTCAGCCAGTGGGTGTCACAAAAAAAGATAGATTGAAATGGCATTTAGGTGTGTCCTCCTGTCAGAGAGAACAGTAATTGCTAATAATAACCCCCCACTGTTGTTTTTTTACATTTGCGCTAAAAAAAGTCAATGATGTGCTGTACCAGATTTGACCATGCAAGCTGTCTCTAAAAGATTTTTTGTAGCTTTTGTGCATGGGAAGAAACTGCCTCCTACCCAAGCAAATGACCAGTGCATGGCCACAGTGCAGTACCAACAGAAAGTCGGACTTCACTCCTTATGACAGAGAAACTCACATTTGCGGCGATGTTCTTGGCCTGGTTTTCCACAGCATGACCAGCCTGGGGTTTCTCATCGTGCGTCGGTTTCGAATCACCCGAGCCACCAGATCGACGTGACTGCAGCTGGCCTGTGCACAAACAACAGTATTTTACTAACTGCTACACATTTCACAGTGCTAATGTGCAGAGTTCTGTTACAATAGTTAGCACATGATGTGAATAGCAAATATATAGAACAGTGCAGGGAATGAGTCTTGGTAAACAAAACTCAAATGATCAATACTATAGAAATAAAAACGAAAATACATAGCATTACACTCTTTTTTACAAGATCTGGTGTTTCCTACAAAAATATCTACATAAAGACACTATCAACTGATAATGAACCTGTACATTGCAGACATTTTAAATAAGTAAAAATTAAGCATAGAATAGATGAAGTTACGCTCAATATTTGAAATGAAATTGAAGTACACGAACATATTTACTGTCAGCACATCACTGAAATAAACATAGCTATAGACTGCTGCTGCTATAGATTGAACTGACTACGTAAATCTGCAAAGCAGTATAAATTTTTAATTTATGCATCACTGATAAACAAGGCCACTGAGGAGCAGTGGCTCCATAAAATCTGTGTTAGCCCTCTCTTTTGATTAGTCACAATGCACTAACATTTCCAACGAAATATTGCACAATGTTGGTACGCATACCATTACGGTGTAGCTCTTGAATTAGAAAAATATTGCGTGCCTCAGGGAAATCGGCAGCACCACCGCGCATGAATTGATGTATTTAGGTTCGCACATGCACATCAATGCAGACATTCACAACACACACAGATGCACTTTCTTCTGCGTGAAGGCACCTGCATCAGTGAACAGCCCATTGAGATGTGCAGCGGTCAACAGGGAAATAAGAACAACAGCACTTGTCCTTTTTTTTAAGGTAAACAGTTTAAAGTCAGTGCTTGTCTCGTGTCTTCCTACTTCTCCGTCTTCGTTTTTCATGCCGTTTACCTTAAAAAATGAATCGTAACCTACTTGCCCCATTTTCAATACTACTCCATAGAGAATGTGTACTTGAATAGGTGCCAGACATGTACAGAACAGTTGCAAAAATTAAAAGGTATCTTTGCCACGTTTTTTGCAGTAACTATCAAAACTGAGGGTTCCGAAATCAGGATCCCACGAGGGACGCATCAGATATGTCTTTGGAATATTTTGACACGCTCACACGCTCATATCAAAGAAAGTGAAGTAATATAATGAGCTGGTCACACAACAAGAGTGGTTGAAGAAAGCTTCAAACATCGGAAGTTATATAGTCAGAAACCTTAGAAATACATCACCAAGAGAAATTACAGTAATTGGGTGCTACCCATTTAGGAAAAAAGAATAGCATCAAATGACGAATACTGTAGAAGTACTGAGTTACTGAATAGGCCGCTACACATGACAAGCAAACGAAATTGTGCTACTTTTATTTTATAGTACCTTTCAATTGCCTCGCCTCTTGCAAAGGTAATGCAAGCATCACTTCTACCTAAGCTGGTACTAAAGTACATGCTCATCGTCACAAAGAGGTATAAATTAGAGCAAGGAGAACATGAGGGTGAAGGACGAAAAGGCCAAGCCAGGCCCTACCTGTCAGGAAAACGCCTGTAGGCTTCTTGTTCTAACACAGGTTAAACACCAGATCCCTTTTCTTCCAGCGCAAGCAGTGGGGCAAACACTAGGTCACTCCTACTGAGCTCCAAAAGAGCGATGCGCACGCGGATTCAGCGTACGACGCAGCATCACTGCAGGGACCCGCCGACAGAGTAAAAACTGGTGGATGGCGAGGCTAAGCAGGCGACCGCCTGCTGGCTTTGAAACTAGGTTCTTCTAGCCGTGAAAGCAGTTTCGAAAAGCAGGGCAACCAAGGCTGAGATGGGAGATGAGGGCTGTCACGAGGGTGGGGGAGGGGGTGAAGCTGGAGAAGAGACCCAAAGGGCAGGGGGAGCGTGGCTATTTTGGAAGCATGGCTGGGTGTCAAGTGAGCACGCATCATGGCCAGACCCAAACAAACAAAAGAAAAAGGCAGTCAAGTGAAAGGGCCCACAATGCAAGGCGCAGCAACAGCCATCTGCCAGACTGTACAAAACCGAGCCCAACTGAGATGCAGCCAAAGAGAAACTAGTAAGCTAGACCATAGAGTTTCCTAAAATTAACTAGAGGGGACTCTAGCGCTGCGATCGTTCAGCAACCATGGGAATGATGGGTAGTACAAAGATTTGCCTAGTCGTCCTAATGGCAGGTGGCGAATTGCACTTGTGGCTTCGTTTATTGCGGTGTTTCGGTTTTGTTTAGAAGGAAAGAACAAACCCTTTTGAACTTTGTGACCCGATTTGAAATAGTAAGCCTAAAAGATTAGGGTGATCAAGCGCAACTGCTGAAAATTTACAGATTTTTATTTCTTGAGAAAGCAGCTTCAAGCCACACAAACACACACAGAGCCAGAAGCGCGAAGATTAGAAAGATCAGTGTTCTACCCATCATTCCCATGCTCGCTGAAGCCCCATGCTGTGCAGCTCCCATAGACACTAGCGCCAGAGTTCCCTCTAGAGTATATTTAGAAGACTGTAATCTAGACAAACAAAAAAGAAAGGCTGAGTTAAAATTGAAAAATTGAATGTCCAGCACTAATTAAATGCTATGCAGGAATAATATCAACAAAATTTATTTTTAAATTGGGGTAACCAATCTCAATAGGTGGTCAAAGTGCCTAATTTAGAGGATGACAAAGAGGACAAGTATGTTGCCACATTGAATATGCAGCACCAAGAGAACAACGAAGAGCACGTGCAGTGAAAGAGAAAGACGAGGTTCTCATCCAATCAGTTTGCCAGTGTTCTGGTACAATTAAAGCGAGTTGTCCTGTATTCAACTGCTGCTGTTTCTGCATTGTGACACTGGTGGAGGCGCTGGGTACATGTTCGGGACGCCTGACAACAGCCCCGCATTTAGTCCAGAAAGACTTCCACGCATAGACACCCCCGTTCATCGCAGCAGCCGCCGCCTGTCAGGCCTCGGCCCGGAGTTCGGTCCATTGCCGGAAAGAGTGACCGTGCGAGAAAGCATGATGGTGCCTGGAAGCACTGGCCCAACATGTCCAGCTCAAGCATGACACAGGTGACTGTTTTGAACCCTCAACTTCCAGTTGACTTCCACGGAAACACAAATGAGGAAGCACATGACTGGCTCGAGGAATTCAAGCACACAGCGAATGTTAACAGGTGGAACACCACACAGAAATTGGGCTACATGTATTTTCCGCTTCAAGATGGAGCCCAAACATGCCTTACAAATCGCGTGTGGTCGTCTTGGGAAGAGTTCTGGCAGAAGTTCCTCGATACGTTCGCGAGCACGGAAAGACGAGAATCGCACAGCGTCTCCTCGAGTCACGGATTCAGAACCCAAATGAATCTGTTACGATGTTTGTTGAGGACATGGCATCGCTCTTTCGTCGAGCAGATCCCAATATGCCAGAAGCCGAAAAGGTTAGCCACCTCATGCGGGGGGCGTTAAGGAGCAGCTGTTCGCTGGTCTCTTACGAAACCCGCCTACAAGTGTTGATGAATTCTCCAAGAAGGGGACATCCATCGAACAGGCACTGCATCTATGCTACCGGCAGTATGACCGCCCAACCCACAGTGCACCGATCAGTGGGGCAGCCACGACCACAGCAACGACACCCGACGAAGGTTCTTTGCGCCAAATGATACGAGAAATCGTACGAAGAGGCCTAGAAGCTCGTCACCAAACCTAATGACTGCGCAATTGCATCAGTAACAGAAGTTGTGCGCCAGGAGATCAGGCAAGCGCTCTCGCTTCCTGAGCCAAACGCGAACACCCCCAGGCCAAGCTATGCAGACATAGTCGGCCGACAGCCATCGAACGTGCCGAAACCGCATCAGTACCACCAGCAACATCAGCCGACTGTGCCTTGGTACAACAAAGAAACTTCGACGCCGAGGCGGCCACCACTTCGCAAAACTGACGTCTGGTGTACCCCTTACCATAGGCCCCTGTGCTTTCATTGTGGGGAAGCAGGTCACATCGTTCGGTATTGCCCGTATCGCGTCGCAGGGTACCAAGGGTTTCCTATCCACTATTCCTCGGCATCATTTCAACGAAACACCTGACGTCGACACAAGTGTCATGACCCAGCAGGATGTTCCTCCTGGATTTCGGTCGCACTCACCCTCTCCTGGGCGTTATTCTCCATCCTCTAGATGGAGCACCACTGACATGCCAAGAAGGAGATCTGCTAGTCCATGCCGGGGAAACTAAAAGCAGTGACCTCAGGGGGGAAGGTTGCGAATCGTCGAAGTGCTGAAAATTCTCCAATACTGCCGAGCCAAGAGACAGAAACTTTCAATGATTCGACGAAAGATGGGGTTGTTACTGCTGATGTTGCAATTACGATTGACGGACATGACGTGATGGCATTGGTCGACACTGGCGCAGACTTCTCATTAATGAGCGACAGTCTGGCAGACAAGCTCGGGAAGGTTAGAATGGAAGGGACAGGAGCAGCAGATTAGAGGAGCTGGAGGGCAGCTACTCATACCTACCGGAAAGTGCACCGCAAGAATGAAGATAGGGTATGCATCCTTCGTCGCAACTTTTGTTATTCTTTCCGAGTGTTGCAAACAGGCAATCCTAGGGATGAATTTCTTGCGAAAATATGGTGCCATCATCAATATACCGGTCGGTGTACTGACCTTTTCAGCGGATTAAAGCGCAACGCTACACCGAAATTCCTGCGAGTCAGATGATGTGACCGTACCTCCGTTATCATGCCGCCTCGTTTCGGTCACGTGCAGCGCGCAGCATACTGGAGAAGGAATCGCTGAACAAGTATTGACGCTTCTACTCTCTTGCGGTGTTGGAATTGCCAGAAGTATTGTCAATGGTGTGTGCGGTGAAACGGAGGTTCTGTTGACGAATTTTACTAACGAGCGACGACACATTACACAAGGCACTACAGTTGCCTACTTCAACGAGATCACCGAAATCCGTGAGTGCTCTGTAGTGCAACAGGAGGCCCAAGCCACGTCAGCCCCACCACCTATCGACGTAAG